AAAACCAATTTCTTTCTTACTCAAATCAATAGTTAATTGGTTTACTAAAGCCTATATGATAAAGCTATACCATATGACGTTTTTAACTGTACAGCTTAATATATATATATATATATAAATGAAAGTGCTACTGCTAGCATGCATCTTTAAATCTCTAGATCAAAGACCCCCTTAATTTAATCAAGGAAAGGACAAGATTTTGACTCTGTTGATATTTATTCTTTGAGGCTTTATTGGTTGGGAATGATATTGGTTGATGAAACCATAAAAATAAAGTAAATTGTAATATAAGAATGGTATAAAATAAATAATTACTGTTTCTTTTTATTAATTTTTTTGTAATAAATGTTAGTTAAAATTCATTGATGGGAGAAGAATTGCTTATATATTAAGGAGTTAGTCCTCATTTAATAATTAATTTTATATAATTTAATATAATTTAAATTATATAAAACATTTTTAGTAATAAATTTAGCACCATGTCATTACTTAACTAATTGAGGGATTGAAAAAGAATTCAAAAAATAAATCTTAGAAACAAAAAAAAGGGACTTTTTCGAGTATAAAAACTAAAAAAAGATGCTTTTTATCAAAATATGAAGACTAAAATAAGATTTTTATCTAACTTTATAGTAAGGATGGTAAAATCACAAACTCATTCATTATTCATAAGAGTAAAACCTACAATTTCGAAATTATGAGGCCATAATTTTTAAAGAGTTTTGAATTTTACATATTATTAAATGTAAAAATAACTTTTAATATTAAAAAGCTCATTCTTGTTTAATAATTTATTATGTATATAATTCAACATAATTTAGATTATATAACATTTTTTTATTTCTAAAACTTCACCTCCAAAAGAACAAAATTCTAAATCTTCGATCATTTTACCTGAAATATTATTGGTCATTTTTAATTTACATTACAACCAATTAACTTGCAGGCGAATAATAACCACACATTTTGATGGTCGTAATCGAGTGTTTCAGGTCCCACAATTCTATTTCCCACATTAATCAAATTGTTGAAAATCAACCGTGAGATCCGCGTTTCCATGGACCCACCTTACTCAACCCGCATTATGGAGGGCCCATAGGCCCCATACCCATAGGATAATTGATTCAAAGGGCAGTTTGGTCCACCCACGTTTTGGAGCGTCGGGTTAAAAACTTTAAAATTTTAATTTAAATGCGCCAAGGGTATTATGGTCAATCCAGTAATGTAAGAAAAGCAGATGGGAATATCCGGAGCCGCGAGGGGAATTATTCCTGACGTGCAGAGCAGATTCTCGTAAGGACCCAGATGGGACCCGCAAGTGCCACCGTGGACGTACGGCGTATGTGACGTGGAGCCACGATCGGAGGATGTCGTGGAAAAAGCAGAAAAGGGAGGGGAAGGATGTGAGACACGTGGCACTTACGCATTAGTCGCCCGCGGGGTGGGGGGTTGCTCTACGGACTGGCTGTCCGAAGGGTTCGTTTGGGAAAGTACATTGAAATTTCGTTTTCTTGATTTTATTGGGATAGAATTTTCGTTTGCTTGTTTTTATTGGGATAGGAAAAAGGGTGCTGCAACCATCACTCCCTTGAAATTTCGATGCTTTTGATGTTGAACCAAATTCCCATCGAAGAAAGGACATATACCTCATTATCATCTGCAGTCATTAGATGTTTAGACATATAGAATATAAGTGAACCTGCAATTTAAGTTTATTTTGATATTATTCCCTTCCTCGGTTCCTTTTATAATGTATATCTCTTTTCTTTTTTTAATTTTCTTTTATTTTAAATTTTAAGTGATATAATAAGAATAATATGTAAATAACTTAAATAATTTAAAAATAATTTTTTTATTGAAAATAAAATATTATAAATGTGAATTACATAATATATGAATATAATAGGTTAAAATATAAGAAAAAATTACCTTTTATTATACAATTTAATTTTTTTTTTAAAGGAGATAGACAACTTTATTCCATTTTTTAACCTTTGCACTCATATGTTTAGTGTTTTACAACTCAAATTAAAAGTCTTCTAATTTTTACTAGAATGAGACTATCATTTATCTATTTAAATTGTTAACCTTTTTTACTTCATTTTTACCCTAAATTTATTAATTTTTTAATATTTTAAAGTTATATTAATTAGTTTTTCCCATTACAACGGTAGAATTAAAGCTCCATCTCAACAGTATTGGTACATATTACAGAACAAAAAGAATATTTTTTTTGTGCACTTCATAACATATTATTTTCTTTATACATCAAATAAATTAGTCATTTAATATCGTTGAAGCTTCAATTTCTAATTTTAACTTTAAATTAAAATTTTTTAATTTATGAGTACTAACTTGAAGATTGATTGATGATATATTATATATAATAAAAAATAACTTTCACATTTTTCAAATCCCTCTCGGCCTATCCTCTAATGTTCGAGCAATAGAGGGAGTATTCATTACATATATCAATTGAATAATGACTTAGGGTGAAGGTGCTTAGGTAAGGCACATCCTGTTCTACCTTGGTTGATCTTCCTTTAGTAGCTGATATTTTTATTTTCAATTTAAAAATGAAAATATTCACCAAAAAAATTTTAAAAATTAAATTATAAAAACTTCCTATTTAGAATTGTAATGTTTTAAAATTTTGATTTAAAATTTTAGAGTTTTAGAGTTTATGATTTGAGAGTTAATTTTAATATTTAAAGATTACAAATAAAGAGTTTGTCCTTCATGATAAGTGCTTAGTTTATCTTTGGTTAGGACTGGTTATGCCTTAGTCATCATATAAAAATAATAGAAAAGTGACATATAATCTATTTAACACAAACTACATTTTACTTAATTATCAATGGAGAGAGTATAGATTAACTCTTTATTAATAGTTAAAAGTAGTGTAGTTTATGTAGAATAAATTGCACTACAACCTTTCACCAAAACTAAAGCAAAACGGAGAAACTTTGTTAAGAAGATAAGATTAATTAACTTTTAATATTGATCATTTTCTTTTGAATTGGGAAATGAGTAAGAAATACGTAAATGGTTACCTTTAAAAATACAGTAAAATTATAATTGTTATTCAAACTTAGGACTTTCGTATCAACAAGCTTAGGTTTCAAAATGAAGGTCAAATTAAGCATGAATTTCTTTAAAAGTTGGCAAAGAAACAATACTTGAAATTGATATATTAGACAATTGAAACCAAGGCTAAACAAAGTATGGCGAAAATTGCCGAATGTCATGTACTTCATGTGCTTTTACCAAATAAACCGAATCATATTTTCAGATCTAATGATTAGTCCATAAATCCAAGTGTTTGGATTAAGTTAGTCGAGAATTTGATTTTCACTAATCATTTGAAAACAATTCTCTTTTCCTCATAATTCTTTATGTTTAAACAAAAAATGAATAAATCATTTTTAAATGAATAATGGCCATTGAGACCAAATTTGATGACAAAATTATTTCAATTATTTTTTGTAATATTTCAATTATTAATTATGTGAGTTTAAATAAAATTCATACATGATTACTAGTTACTATAATTTTTTAAAAAAAAATTAATTTTAAAAATTAATTTTAACTATCAATATTCTTCCTATGAAATAGCACTATCACTATTCTTTTAAAGTAAGCGAACCCCAGTACCTGGCATTCGAACCTAATAGCAACTGTTATAATGAAGGGTGCATCTCCTCTCTTTGGAACGGGTTCGACCCGTTTCATGATCAATTGTACCAAAAAAAAAAAAAAAAACAGTAAGCGAACCCCGAAGATAAGGCGTGGTCCGTATGGTTGTACTTTATTATAAACATGCTACGTAATCTTGCACGTCATGTTGCCCAATCGTGTACGTATCTTATACCATTATGAATATTACCCCCAAAAAGTCTTATGCCTTTACAAGACGCAGACCTCAAATTATATAGAGAATGACTCCACCCAACTCAAGCTAATTTAGGAATTAAATTTTAATATTACTATTCCAAAGACATGCTATTGTAATAGTACATTTAGATGATGCATTACTCTTTTCTAATGCTAACTAAATTAAAATTTATTTAATTTGAGAGTAGTGAAAAACAAAAAAAAAAAAAAAAAAAATTTAATTTGAGAGTAGTGAAAAACAAAAAAAAAAAAAAAGAGAGAAAGGTTGCTTGTTTCAACAAATTAATTTATTAACTTAATAAAATAATTTGATTGGTTCAAAATTCAAATAATATCCGTCCCACCCCAAACTCTTCGTGAAATGTTGAAGCAAAGACTATTTGGGCTTCGAAAGGTATTAAGGTAAAACCGACCTGGGCTTTGCCTCTTTCATTGCTCTTCCTAAAGGAGCCCGCTTAATATAGTAAATCTAATTGGGCTTATAAGCCCGATTCATGTACACCACAGAAAAGAGACCCAAGATAATCCAAGTCCACACAGTTGCCCACATGAACTGACAACGGGTTAAAATACGCATTCGGCCCTCACCAGCCCACAATTCCGGTTCCTTTTCTCAGAGGAGTAAAATTTCCAATTTTACGGTGAAGACTGAAGCCGATGGTGAGCCAAATCAGACAAGACCCATAAAATTAAAAGCATCTGAATTCAGCATGCACAACAAACGGTGTAAGTACATTTTCCTGAAAAAATTTCAGCCGTTAACAAATTAACTCTACTAACTTTCTAACCATTTACCTGGTTAAAAAAAAAAAAAAGCGGCATAAATTGGATTTCAGAACTACGAAATCACAGAAATGAACGCATAAATTGGAATTCAGACCATAGAAAATAAAATGTTAAGAAAGTAGTTAATTTGCAATTTCACTGACAAGACCTTGATATTAACATTGTTCAGTTTCTCAAATACTCAACTCATACAGCTGATTAGTGTAATTTTAGCATTAACTAACCAAAAAGTTCATATCCAGCACATTCCAGAAGCCCAACACTGCACACAAAATCTTCAAATCACTCAACCTTAACCTGGAAAACATCACTCCTCTCTTCCTCCTTGACCTTCGGCACCACCAATTTCAGCACACCGTTCTTCATCTCGGCCTTGATTTGATCGAACTTGAATAACTTCGCAGGCAGATCGAGCCTACTAGTGTACTTCCGGCCACTCTCCTCATCCTCGGATTCCTTTGCTCCCTCACCTTTGATGACCAGAGTGTTCTGCTCCATACTGACCTTGACGTCCTCTTTTCCGAGCCCAGGCATGTCGATGCTGATGTTCAAGGCGTCCTCAGTCTCCTTGAGGTTGTAGCCGCGGCGGACACCAGCTCCCATGCCGTGCGAAGCAGAGACGAAAGGATTGTCCATCATTTGGTCCATCAGGTTCAGAACCTGGCTCAGGCTCCTAGGTGGAGCAAAAGGATCAAGCACATCTGCAATCAAATGAACATCATACTCAAGTCAGTCAAAAAAACAGAGCAGGAAAACTTAGATCCAAAGAATAATGCATTCGTACAATTGAGAACAAAAAACAGTTAAAATTGGACGCTAGCAACGTGGATTAAGAAGACGACTACCTGAGAAGAAGTCATTGCGACGGCGGGGGAGCGAGCGGCCAGATCGACGATCAACATCTAGCTCGCGGTCGTCCACCTCGGAGTCGTACTCACTCACGGCGTTGGTATTGAAGAGCCTGGAGGCCGACGGTGCGGCTGCTGCAGGACGAACCACACCCAGAGATTTGGGCAAGAGGTTTGCTGCGACGAGCCTTCTGAGAGCTAAGGAAG